AAAATGTTGCTCAATCCGCGCCATGTTGGGGAACAGTGCGGCTCGATTTCACGGCACATGAGTCTGGCCCATACAAATTGAATGTTGCCAGCAACATAAGACGTAAGAAAACGTAAGTGAGGATGGTGTGCAAGGGACATTGTTGAGGGGAAAAAGGACATTGTGGCGAGGAAAAATCCCAGAGAAAATCCCAAAAAAGTCCCATGTAATTTTGACACTTTTAAAAATGAGCTGCCACATCTCTTAAAAAAGGTTTCAACATTCCGGTATCGATAGCACTATCGATATATCGATATTTTCTAGCCTCGCTTCTGCCATCCCTTATGGGCTGCATTCCCTCCAATTTTTTGATTATTAATGATTGAATGATTGATTGATTTAACCCGATGACAACTGTTTTAGACAACTTCCTACGAGCCGAGAAAATCGGCGAAGGCACATACGGCATTGTCTACAAGGCGCGCAGCAATTTGACTGGTCAGGATGTGGCTCTCAAGAAAATCCGTCTGGAAGGGTACGTAAATCAACATCAAAGTCCTGGAATTCGCATCTAGAGTCCCTGCATCATAGCGTTGTGCAGCCAACAAACGGCAGTCGGCATATGGCGTGTAGTGCAGATACACATATACACAACCTGGGATATGATATGCATCCTGGCTGCTGACGCCGTGTCCTTGACGAATGTCAAACACCTCGCAGGCTCTGCAGCAGACCCTGCTGCACAACGCAGCCCGGATTCTGTGTGTGCTGCGCTGTGTTCTTAAAAGCCGTAGCACCACATGATTCGGCTGCGTGGTCAGCCACACCTTCAGTATCCAAGTCGCATTCATTAATACTGACATTATGTATACACATGTGTTGAGTTTACTGACTTTTCCCTCGTTATTGCAGTGAGGATGAAGGCGTCCCTTCCACAGCCATACGTGAGATATCCCTGCTGAAGAATCTCAAGCACCAGAATGTGGTGCAGCTGTTTGACGTGGTTATTTCTGGTAATAATCTATACATGATATTCGAGTACCTCAACATGGATCTGAAGAAACTGATGGACAAGAAGAAGGATGTCTTTACGCCGCAGTTGATCAAAGTAAGTTCATCTAAGTAAGCCTCCATACATATGTATATACAAACGCGTTCACTCTTTTCAGAGCTATATGCACCAGATATTCGACGCCCTCTGCTTTTGTCACACCAATCGTGTACTGCACCGCGATCTCAAGCCGCAGAATCTACTCGTAGACACGGCGGGCAGAATAAAGGTAGGCATCGAGCTGTAATCCCGTTAGTTGCTTACTAATTCATCGCTATAGTTGGCAGATTTCGGTCTGGCACGAGCCTTTAATGTACCCATGCGACCGTACACCCACGAGGTGGTCACGCTCTGGTACCGAGCACCGGAAATATTGCTGGGAACTAAGTTCTACTCGACTGGAGTGGACATCTGGAGCCTGGGCTGCATTTTCGCCGAGATGGTAGGTTATGCGGATTGTGTTTATGGTGATTACCTCATTCAAGATTATTTTTCAGATAATGCGACGATCATTGTTTCCCGGGGACAGCGAAATCGATCAACTGTTTCGGATCTTTCGCACTTTGAGCACGCCCGACGAAACCACATGGCCTGGTGTGACACAGCTGCCGGATTTTAAGGCTAAGTTCCCAAAATTTCAGCCCTCCAATGTGCCTGCACCCATCCGCGAGCACGAGGCACATGATCTTATAATGGTGAGCGATCAAATCCCAATCAAATCCATCAGCCTATATCTATAATGTTACTTTGCTGTACAGTCGATGCTGTGCTATAACCCCAACATGCGCATCTCCGCCAAGGACGCCCTTCAGCATGCATATTTTCAAAACGTTGAGCATGTGGATCATGTTGCACTGCCAGTGGATCCCAATGCTGGCAGTGCATCTCGTCTCACGAAGCTCGTCTAATCGTCGTATATCCCCGGATCAACCCTAGCTAATTTCTTGTGATCTGTTAGTATAGTAAGTCAACTGACTACCTCATTACCACTTAACAAATAATACATGAATAGAGAAATTACATGTGACTGTTATCTTCATTACAGCTGCCACCTCCATATCATCCTTTTAAAACACACACTCACACGCATACAAACAAATCCTTTAAATACATGCTCATGTCCATCAGGTATTCGATAAGTTTATTAAGATATTTTGGTTTATTTCACCAGGCGCGCAGCCAATAGTAGCGGTTCTGGTTCCGAGGAGAAACCTTGGCACCTGAGTCTGAAATTGCAGTGACGCCACCATTGCGCCCTGACTGGCGTTGGCGCTGGCGATTGGGTTGATCGTCACGCATATACGTGCCTAGAGCATTGCGCATGCTCTCGGAGAGCGGTGACTGACTCGCGACGTCATCGTCTTCTTCGCCAATGCCGTAAGACGTTGCATCGGTCAGTGCTGTACTATCGTTCGAATCAATTTCATCGTCTGTGTCTTCGTTTTGATTGGCCGAGTCGCTTTCGTCGACTGTGCCCACTGCGGACAACGGCAGTGGCCGCAGAAGAGCAATCTTTTTGGTGTTGATTTTACCCAAAACCGTCGGCTCCTGTGGCTCCCCCTCCGATGCGGGATCAAACTGATTGTAGTAGTTTGCCTGAAAGTCTTGCGGGCTGAAGCGCTGCACTCCGTAATAGCTGCCGGAGTTAGTGTCGTAGAAGAACATAGGCTCGGCTGGAGGCAACGGAGGTGCATAGTAATCGTACGGATCATACTCCTGCGAGTCAAAGGCGGGCCTACGTTTCTGCTGCTTGCGGCGCTTTCGTTTGCGTTTCTTGGAGCTCTGCGACTCTGGAGTCGGACTCTCTGGGTGTGGGTCCTGGTCCTCGTCCAGAGACTGAAGGAACACGGGCGATGTCTCAATGATATTGGCGCTGCCATCGTTAAAGAAGTTGGCCAATGGATTGGTCAAGTTTCGCCAACTTAACGAGGGCTGAACACTTCGAATGAAACTATTCCATACGCGGACTAGTGGACGCTCTGTGGTTGTCGTTGGCGCAGCCTTGCCTTGGATGTCATGGATGCGACGCCTCCGGTACCCACCGCTATTATTCGGCAACAGGACATACTGGTAGTTACTGGAACAAAATAAGTAGTACATAAGTATATCTCTCCATAGACTAATTACAAGTTTGTATATTTCGCACTCTTTATTGGCTGGCTGCCGTGCCTGTGGCCGCCCTGGCCCTTGCTGCACCTCCAAAGCCGGCATCCTGGCTGATTGAGTCTGAATGGGATAATTCCATGCTACAAAGAGCAACAAGGCTGTCACCAATGGCCAATGCATGGCTGTTAAGTGTAATGTCTGTGGGTGAAGGCTAAGCTCTGGCTGCGTCCGCTGCCCTTTCTGGTCTATAGCACACTGAGACGAATCCGAGATGCGAACCTAGTGGTCAACAACACTAGCCTGTCGCATGGCCATTGTTTTGTCTTCGAGCGCATCTCATTAGAATTTTGTATTTTAGCGAAACTCTCAATAACCAATTTGATATAAAATGGCATTGTTCCAAGTCCCAGCCGACACTAAACCAGCTAACCCAATTCTGAGGGTGTCGACAAGAACGTCTTTCCCCCGCGGCTCGGTGACAGATGCCAATCTTGCCCATACATATGCTAATGGACTTTTAGAGATTACACAATTAATATGCCATTCAAGGTATCGTCTGTGATTAAGAAACTCGTTTGCTTCGCTTTGCTCTGATCTGGGAATGCGTCAGTTTTCTGATTTCCAAAAATTTTGCCAAGCTGGCCGTGCTGAATGGACGGTTGGCGAAATGCTTTCTCCTGATGAATTTGTGTTTATGGGATCATCTCCTTATCGCGAATACTATTTGATGGCCTGTCTTAATATGACTGTTTTTATTGGGGCATTTTCGCGGCCCTACTACTTTTTTATGGCATGCTTCTTTTTGCCATCCTAAAGTGGTAATAACTATTGAATGTCTCCATTTGGGCGGGCTTTATTTGCTTCGACATGTGGAACAATTTAGAAATTTAATTTAAATTAAGAACATGTCCAGGTCTCAATAATATATGTAGATCAAACAGAAAGGAAAGCTGGCCTAATGGGACGTAACGATCGTATTTCTGAATGAAATTAAAACTAATTTCAAAATTCTCGATCATGGTCAAAAAACAAACATTTAAAGTCAATGTAAACACATTTCCATATAGTTCTGTCCCTATATAATCCTATGAATTTATTCAAAGTGGACTAATTTAAACAACAGTCGAACTTCCATATAGCGAAACTCAAGAGGAATTTGTTTTTTTTTTTTTGCAGAATATAGCAGTGCAGTGGAATAAATTTGGAAATAAATTCGTTGTACGGAACTTCAATGTGAAAATTATTAGTAAGATCAAATTTTAAATAAAACTAACTTTGATGATTCTACATTAAAAGTTGTACCACAAATTTTCTATAATATATTCCACTATCGGAAAAAAAGTCCCAGAAAATTGGCCCAATCGCGGGCTATTAAACGAAATTTCGTAATGTAACGCCAGTAACGTTTGCCAGAATACAAAAAAAAAGATAAGGCTATTAAAGCTATTATTAAATACGATTCAAATATATTGTGTATGTACAAAAAAAGGTAATAAAGATAGTTTTGCAATTTTGAAAACCATGTTCAAAAACTTGTGTCTTAAGTAACGGAAAATCAGAGGATATTTCTAATTATATGTATCTTTAAAGTCGTAACTTTTTAAAGACTGGACTTTTACATTATTTTTTAGTACGAACGTAACGTAAGGCCTGAATGGAAATGCCCATTTTCCAAGTTTTTCTGGCCAATTTTTTAAGTTCTCAACTCAGCGGCTTTGTGCCACGAGCCAAGCAGGGCAAAAACAACTGTAAAAGCAAAGAAAATTCCTAACAAGTGTTTTTCTTTTCATTGTAGGGAGAAAGAATAAAAGCAAGAGCGAGAGCGTGAGAGAGCTGTCAGCCGCGGAGAGGGCTTTCGACACATGCTGGAAAAGCTTTGGCTCTGGCTTTGGCCAGGAAACGGTTCAGTCTACTTTGAGATTCCTGGCCAGCAACGACACGACATCCGACAGTGGCCGCGGCGCGTGCTCCAAAAAACAAAAAGGAAGGCTGGAAAAACGCCAGCAGCAAGGAGCTGTAGCTGTGGCTGTGGCTGTAACAGTTTCCACCAAAGTCTAGGAAAACAAGTCCGAAGGAGGCGCATTTAAGTGGTAGCTTGCTTTTTTGGGCTAAGCAAGCGATTCGTGCGATTCTATCCATGTGCTGCGAGTATATGTACGTGTCTCCTGGCTGTGTGCGTGCGCGAGTGCCAGTTTCTACGTTTGTGTGTGTCTATGTGTGTGTGTGTGTATCCATGCTTGTGTGCCTTTTGTGTATCCGGGAAGCGTTCTGTTTTTGAGCTGCTGCTCCAAATTTATACAGAGCATATTTGTGTCCATTTAATTGAATTAAGTAAAGGGCTCCGCCACCGAGCCGAGCGTCGCCATTCCGCACCATCTTTACATAAGAGCAAGCGTGAGATACAGATACTGCGACAGAGAATGTCGACAATTGCGTAAAGTTTTGTGGCCCTTGGGCTCGTGGGCCCGTGTGTGCCGTGAGTGCCGTGGGAAAATGACATTAAGTGCTTAAGTAAATTATATAAAATCATTAAACGCCCCGCCGAGCATCCATAACACACGGCAAATGTGAAACGACAGCTGCAGCCTGGAAAACACACACAGTTTCCATCGCTACAAGATAAACCGATTCCTTGCCCAAGCAATTTTCCCTTCCCTTCTTTCTTCTTCTTGTGGCCAAATGAAAAATTCAAAGCCGTCACAACGGGGCCGGAGCTGGGGGCGGGACTAGATTTTCGACATAGGCGGGCTACTGTCAAGGTGGGCGCTACCTCAAGGCCTAGTAGCTAACCCTAAGCCCAACCACAGACACGCACACAGCCAACCACACAACCACCCACGTGTCCACACACACACAGACACACTCTCCCAATGGATATACGTCTTGGCGGGCGTTTTGTTTTCCCCATTTTCAAGTGCGCGTTTTTGGGGGTGCCTGCCAGGTGTCTGACTGAAACAGTTTTTTGGCGTCACTTTCGGTTTCGCCGTGCCCTCGCTCAAGTGCTGTGCTTGACCATAACCACTAAAACTGTCACATTGCGTATACGCCGCGTGTTGTCCTCGAGCGCGCGGTGTATTTGTTTTGTGGCCGTGTGCTTGCGCTCGCTCGTAAGCTCGTTTACTTTTCAACAGCCAACTGGCACCCACGCCTGCACTGAGAGTGCTGCCAGCTCTCTCTCTCTCTTTCCGCTCTCTCTCCATGGCACGTTCTCTCGCCGAACCAGCTGTTTGTGTTGTTTTGAATCGCATTCCGGCATTCCGCCATTCCGCCATCCGTAAAACAACAAAGGAAAACATTCCGTTCATCCGTGTCTGTCTGTCGGTCATCTGGTCACGTTTTCCGACTCCTGCTCCCCTTCGCCATGCCTTTGCTTGGCAATTTAAATTTTATTGTGATTTTTATTCTTGGCGCAAATAAACAGCACGAAGAGCGTCTTTGCTCTCCCTCCCTGCCTGGTTTATAGAGCAATTTGACGACTAAAAGTATGCATCAAAACGATGGGTCTGCCATTAGCCTGACAAGGCTTTGGGGGATGGCCAGAGATGAATGGTTTGGGCGGTGCTGGTGCTGGTGCTGGTGCATGGGAAAATGACATCGAAGCCACCTGTCGAGCAGCTAAATATTTAATACCTGCCTGAAAATTGATGGAACACCCCAGTCCTTTGTAGCCAACAGCTTGTGCTGGCCATATATCACACTGAGCAGAGCATTGCTTAGTCCACCATGTGGTTTCCATTTCTTGGTTTGGCCAATGTCGTCTTGGCATTCGGCCAATTGCAGGGCAGTCTCCAAGTCCCACCCAACATTACTGCCCCCTTTTTGGGTTTCCGTTTCCGTTTTTGCTTGGGAATTGCAACTTTTGGCTGTCTGTCTGTCAGAGGCAGCATTGTCACAGTGATTCGGGGTCTGCTCGGAAAAGCGATGAAATTTCCATATTTCTCGCATTAGCCAACAGCCAACTAGCAATGGCCATGGCGTTGGGCGGGGATGGGGGAGGGGGAGGGCTGAGTGACTGCTCATTAAAATGCTATAAGTGTACGAACAATTTGCATGTTGCACGAGCAGCGGCGCCGAGCTTCAAACTGAATAATTAACACCCCCAGTCCCCAGGTATGTAATAAGTATACAAGTATACCTGTGGCTTCTGCCTTTATTCGGTGCTCAGGAGCGTACAATTAGCGAATTGGCATTTTGGTAGATAAAATCGAGGTAGTGCCGTATGGCCAGGAAGCTGGAGAGGATGCGATTGTTCTCCCAGCGCCAGTCGATCATCAGACCCACCAGATAGAAGTTCTGGGTGACATCGCCCTTCACCTGCATACCCACCAGAGGAGCTCCGATATAGTAGCCTTCGGGCTTGGCCTGGTAGCCGCAGACGGTGGTGCTGCTGGTGACAATGGAGCTGACCTTCGACTGGCAGAAGCCGCGGCTCAGAGTGTTCACCCAGGTCTTCAGCTTGCGATCCTCCTTGACTCGCAGCCCGGCCACTATGAACGTCTGGCCGACCAGTGTCTCATTGACCAGCTGTGGCGGGGGCATGCAAACGGGCATCACGTTCGGATTCAGCTTGGCATCCCGCTGCAGGGTGAGCACGGCCAGGCTGTTCTTCAGCGTGAGCGGATCGTACTCCGGATGAATGGCGATCTCGGCCAGCTTTATCTCCTGAGCCGGCACCACACAGAACCCATCCCTGTCGCATGACGGCTGGCTGATGACCGAGCTCTTGTTCCACACTCCCAGGTGGACGGAGAATGCCTCCGCCTCGCCATTGTACTGTACGAAGCAGTGGGCGGGGGCCAGCACATTGCGCTTGGAAATCAAGGCGCCTAGGCATCCATCGTTTTGGATCTTGCCCTCGAAACCTAAAGGTCATACACATCTAGGGTCATTCGTTCTAGTCTGCTATGCCAGAGACACTCACCTTTCGCGAAGACGATGCGGGCCACCCACTGGTGCTCCGTGGGTATGGCAAAGGAGCCCTGCTTGAGAAACTGGTGCTCGTCGAAGTAGCCGCACTCGGTGTCCTCCAGCTGGGCCGATAGGACGCCCGTCCAAGTAGCCAGCAGCAAAGTGATGAGAGCGGTTCCCCAATGCATTCCAAAGTGCGACTCAGAGTCAACTGATCGATCGATGAGAACTTCAACAATATCCCGCGACGATTGTCGATGCGATCCACCAGTGGGTTTCTCCAGTAGTTGATCGTCGACTTGATTGGGTTTCTAATAAACTATTCGTGCTACCTGTGTTAAGGCAACTACAAACCAGTTGCCGATACGGAACTCTGGGCAGCTCCCAGCACGATGCATCAGTGTTTCCCCTTCATAAACCTATTACTTCCATCAATGCAATGCATATTTATTGAAAACATATAGGAAATACGCCTAAACAGGTTCTGTAAGCCCAACTGTAGTGCGGGGATGGAGGGTACTACTTTGTGGCAGTATTCTCCATTATCCAGGGACGAGCGCGCCGCAGATCCTGGTAGACATGGGTGGTCACCACACCCACGTTCATCACCCTGGCCAGCAGGGCCACAACATAGAAGCTGTGCGGCACATTCCGCTCCACGCTGATGTCCATCAGGGCCGAGCCCTCGTAGAACTTTGTGCGCTTCACGGGAAAGGCGCAGAGCTGGTTCTCCGGCGGCAGGGTCGAGGCGGAGGTCAGTTGCTTGCACTTCTGACGGGAGACCGTCATGGCCAGACCCTTGCCCTTGATGTTGTCGGTGTGTGTGAAGCCCGAAAAGTGCAGGTTGCGATTGATCAGCGACTCTGGCTCCGCGTTGCCCTCCATGCAAATGGGTTGGATGTAGTTTGTCCACTCGATGGGCTCCACAAGACGCAGGATGGCCATGTCGTTGTCGCCCGTGTCCTTGTCCGCATCGGGATGCACCTTGATCTCGGCCACGTTGTACAGCTTGGGCCCGGGCACACAGAAGCCCCTGTTGTTGCAGGCGAACTCCTCGTCGGGTGAGTGGCTCTCATTCCACACGCCCAGCATCACGACGGCGCTCACATTGCCCGTCCGGTTCTTAAATCGCTTCACGCACGAGGCGGTGGTCAGGACATGCTGCTGATTCACTATGACCACAGTGCATCGTGTGTTTGTATAGCCATTACCTGGGATACAAGTCCATTAGGAACCTCAAGAGCCACAGATCAAGGGAGGGTGGCACTTACCCTGACTCTGCAGCAGCACCCCTATCCAGGGATACTCCGAAGGCTCTGTTCTTTCGTCCATGGTGTAGAGCACTCGCTCCTCCAGGCGGCCGCAAGGGGTGTCGCCCATTGTCAGCGCTACGGGGACCATCAATACAATCTACATGGAATATGGAATACATATTTATATGCACTCACCGCCCAGCCAAGCCACAACTAGAAGCAGAACAAGTTTTCCGGCCACAACCATTTCTAAGTAACTATCTAATCCGCTGGTGTCTCTCGTCTGTCCAAGTGCTCGGATCAAACTGAGAAACCGATTTTGAGACGACTTTGGCTGAAGCTTGCTGAGAATAAACTCTCCATGAATTATGCATTCGAAATCTCTCGATGCGATCACGAATGCACTTGTATGCTAGGCTTCAAATAGATATTTTCTTTTGGGATATAAAATACTAAGCAAATTCGAGTCTAGAAGTAAAGTGTTTCCATTTTAAGAGCCATTAAAGCTTATTCAATCCTAAAGACAAAGACCAGCCAATTACTCGTACAAGAAAAGAACAGGACACTCATTATATACCGATTAGATTGTTAGAATCCGTCGACCCGCTGTCCCATTGGGCTCCTCGGATATGCATGTGCACAGGCCCGCCCACGACAACGACTTGGGCTGAATAATTAATGTTTCAATTAGAATGCTATTATCGGGGGCAAGCAAACACACTGGGCACAGGCTGGCTGGCTGGCTGCTCAGCAGGCATTGAAGGTGAAGGACACAGAAGGACACAGACACACTGTAATGGATCGCGGCAGCGGGGGGGCTGGCTTGGATTGGCTGGATTTAACACTCTACTAAATATGCTTACAAATTGCCCGACCAGATCCGGCTGCCAGTTTATTGTCCACTCCCGACAGACGGGCTCAACTTGACCTGCTTGAGCCGGGGCGTTCATAACTCGCATTGTTATGAATCCCACCCCAAAAAAATTCTACACCCCCCAGCCCTATCACGGCCTGGCCTGGACCGGACTCTAATGAACAAGCCGCCCGTTGGTCAGACGGCCATAAAACTTGGCTTGGCTCTGGCTCTGGCTCTGGCCTTGGTTTTGGCCTAGAGGGAACACGATTACGGTCCGAGCTGAAGGAGAACCAAGAACAGAAAGGGGGGGAGGTGTGGTTGGGGATGGGAATGGGAATGCAAATTGCTCGGACCAGACCCTGACGTGGCCTGCGTGGGCTTTGGGTGCGCCTTTTGCTTGTAAAGGGTCGAGAAATGAGCCTCGCTTCCCACTTGCGTGTCCCTCAATCTTTAATCGCTGCCAGCACGTGAGCAACTTGCTTCTCGTTTCGGTTTCGTTTCTCTGCCTCAAGAATGGCAGCTAATGGCGGCTGTAATCGAATGGAATCATTGATTGGACTCCCCCTGGAGAAGCCTCCTTTAAACTTCAAGTTAAGCCCACAAATTGTTCTCAATCTATCTTCAAGCTGGCACGGACCCCTATGAACACTATGAACGAGGTCTGGCAATGATGATAGTAGCATGACGCGCGACGGAGAAATTCCAGCCATTTTCAATCCGAAACGGGTCCGCACACCTGCCGTGGTAGTCACCGGAGACTCATCGACAAATGTCCCCTACAGCAACAATAACAATAACAACAACAACAACAGTGGGACTGGGACGGGCACGGGGACGGGGCCGGGGGCCAGCAGCAGCAGCTCGGGAGGCACAGCTGTCGCAGCAGGAGGGGGAGGTGGCACTGGCGCTGGAGCGACAGGCGGCTGCGGCTTCAGCAATGTGCTCACATCGAGCAATCCGCAAATAACCCACCAAGACTCGATCTCGTCGAGCCAGCAGGATCCCAATGAGGTAATCATCATACCAGCGGACACCCCCACGGGGCCACCCGGCAGCCACAATGCACAACACCACTTCGGAGGCGACTCGAGTGACACGCAAACCGGACTCGACTCCCAGCAGCAGCAGCAGCAGCAGCAGCCGAATGGCCATGGGGAGGAGCCGGAGCTGCGCTTCAGAAAGCTGCAGGCCTGCAAGGAGTCCTGCTGCTCGGAGCTGGCCCGCAAGGTATGCCCAAGGCCCCTACCATGACACTCGATACCACTTCACCTTTAACTTTACTGGCACTTTGCTCGTTGCAGATGTACTTCGGGGTGTGCGTGACCATCCTGATGACCGCCTCATGGGTGGGGGCCACGCACTGCATCAAGTACATGTACAAGTACCGGGCGCCCTACGATGACGTGCTCAACGATGACCAGGACACGTCATCGAGTCGGGCCGAGCTGAGCGCCGAGCTGGAGGAAATAATGGCCATCAGCGACTCGTCGCTGCATCACGTCGAGGACGCCACCGAGATGTTCAATATACCACCGCGCCAACCCGTCTATTTCAGTGCACCGTTTTTTGCCGCCTGGTTTTTTACCAACTTTTCACTGCTCTTCTTCCCGATCTACATCCTGGGCCTCGTTTCCACGCGCAAGTGCGACAAGCTGAGCGAGGTCCTGGGCGATGTGCTGAGAGGATTCCGGGAGCGCGGCTTCACCGTGGGTGAGTGTCTGCCGGGCCGAACCGGGCCGTGAGCACCCATTTCTGAGTTTCCCCCCCACCCACAGGTCGCTTCCTGAATCGCTGCCTCTCGTTTTGCATTTTGTGGCTGGTCACCACCTACCTGTATACGCTCTCCCTGAACGTGCTCTATGCCACGGATGCCCTGGCCCTGTTCGCCACCAATGTGGCCTGCGTCTATCTGCTCTCCTGGGTGATCCTGCACGAGCAGTTCGTGGGCGTTCGCGTAAGTACCTATCCACATATCTGTCTCGTCTTTGCATAATGATCGATGTGATACGTCTAGATTGTCGCCATCATTCTGTGCGATACGGGAATCGCACTGCTCGCCTACATGGACGGCATCACCGAGAGTCGGACTCTGAGCGGCGTCGTTCTGGCCACACTGGCCGGCGCCGGCTATGCCGTGTTCCGGGTAAGTCCTTGCCTTCGTGTCCTGACTTATTGTGTCGTGCCGTGTGCTCATGTCGGGCTGTCGCTGTCGCTTTCTAGGTTATGTTCCGCAAGGTGATGGGCGATCCGCCGGTGGGCCAAATCGCCTTCATTTTCACCGCCCTGGGCTTCCTCAACGCCCTCCTGCTCTGGCCAGTGGTGCTGGCGCTCTACCTGACTGGCACGGAAAGCCTCACATCGGAGAGCATACCCTGGAACCTGCTGCTCGCAGCGAGCGTCCTGCTCTTGGGTATGACCCCCGAACCCCGAACCCCGACCCCCCACCCCCCGCTACTCCTTTTGTTGTGTTCGAAACTTTTATCGTTTGTAATTAATTCCGATTGCAGTTTTCCACGTTCTGATGCAGTTCAGCGCCGCCGTAACGTACAACATGTTTGTGACATTGGGTCTGATTACCGCTGTGCCCGTTTCTGGTGGTATGTACACAGGCGGGGGCACCCCCCTTGGGTCTTGGGTTGGTTCCTTCGGCGGGCGGGATTCCGTGACTGCAAATTGTTTTAAATTGTAATATAAAAAGCGGGCACTCATGTGGGGCACACGGCAACATTTGATCTTTGGAGTTCAAGAAACGCCACAAAGTTGGGAAATTGATCGAAAGAGGGGCTGCAAATTCCCCATACTAGAGATGGGAACCTACTCTTCAAGTCCTGATCCAATCCGTTTGTAATTCCACCACCCCATAGCCCTCGATGTCATACTGTACAGTGCCAACTTTGCGGGCATGAAGCTGGCCGGGGTCATACTGATTGGCATCGGGTTCTTCCTGGTGATGTTCCCCGAGAACTGGCCCGACTACATAACGCGACTGCTGCGGTAAGTACAGTACTCACTGCAGTACGCTAACATTACAATTGTTGTGCCAATTAATATGCTAATTTTCTTTGTCAGAGTAAAGAATCGTGCGTGTTTGGTTCAAATATAATTTATAGTTTGTTCTTTTTGTTTTCCTTTTTGTTTGCTTTGTTGTTGTATGTTTTATGTTTATTGCCAAAAGAGTCGACTAAAGCCAATATTAAAATAATTAAAAAGAAATATCATCATCGCATTAATTAATTTATGATTTGAATAAAGAATAAAAACAAAAACCAAGTTGATTTACCTGCTGTGTACTCACATAAACTATATATTTAATTTTATATAAACAAACATCTTGCAGAAAGAGCGTTCGAGCCATACTCCGTTACCAATGTTGTTGTGAATTAGCCGAAATTCGCTATGCTCATTCGGTAGGCCAAAAACACAAGCTAAGCCAAAAACCCAAAAACCAAAAACCAAAACCCACCTTTGATTTAACATACAATTATATATATAATTAATAACTAGACTAGTAGGCATCCTAAGATCTGTTCTGAATAGTACAATATTTAACGAACCTTCCAACCTCAACCGAACTATACTGATAATTGATAAGTAACCAGATATTTGGCAGATTTTTTACTGAATACCACCAACAACAACAACTACTTCTATGCTATCTATCATATATAATAGGTACAAAACTATAATAATCCCACAGACATAAAAAACAATACCAAGACAACACATTTTGGCTTCCAACTTTGCGCTCACCCTTGTTGAAAGATATGTTAGCTATATAGACATGTGTATCTACATAATTGTAATTCTCTATTTAATGTACACACAAAGAACTACCTACATCAAAACATACAATCTATATATGCCTTGTAACACATACTATACTCGTTATATACCAAATACATACCAGTACCATGTATATCTCTACATACTATATATCGTTATCGTTATAATCCGTTAAACCGACACTTCTTCGGCTGTTGTGCAATTGGTTGACAATCCCGTCTCGTTGTTGTTCTAAACGTTTCTTTGGCGGAGCTGTTACTCTTTATACGTATACTATTTACCACCAACCATACATACTATACTCGTACCTATATATTTATTGTCGTTGATAGTTAAGTTTTCTTTCGGCATATACCAACCAACCAGACCACTCCAATCCAATCTTTTGTTTTCCTCATCTATGTGTAAGATGTACATACCTTTCTAGCCGATGCCAAGGATCGGTTATTCGGTTATTCGGTATCTCGTAGTAGTTCGTACACCCACCTACACACCTATTCCACACTCATACACACACTCACACACACCTCTCTACGTACTATATAGATTGCCTTTCGCTGGTGTTGCGATTACGAGACCGAGACCCACCCAGAGAATCCTCAAAGAGATGGTTGCTGTTTGGCTGATTGTTGTGTGATCTCTCACCTGAATCGCTTTTTGTAATTGAGTTCAGTTTTGACTTGGCCCCCCCATCATACATACATATATGTATGTATGGATCTGTAAATACATTCCGATTTTCGGTTCGTTTCGTTCTTTTGTTACTGAAATTGTCTGCACCCACTAGTGAGGCCATATAGATGTTAACCAGATGTTATAGTAAGGCTGCATGAAGGAATGTACTCGAGACGCCCTCTCGGTCCTACCCTCGTGTAGAGTCTTAAGTTCATAGTTTCCTTATCGTTTCTCCTACAAATAATTCAGATTAAGAATGTGCCTCAGAAGGAAATCCCCCGACCTACCTTAAAATACTAAAAGCGGAATCCTAAATAAAGATAACCATAAAAATGCATTCGAAATGTTACTGATTGGCATGTTAAAACCGACCTTCGTTTTGTCATCGTTTCGTATCCGGATTGGATGTTGTTTTTCGTTTTTTTCCAAAATTTCAACTTCTCTTGAGTTCCGTTCCTCTTTGTTTTCTGTGTGATCTGTCTACAAGCTGAACGAATTCTACTCTATGCTACTATAACTACTCTACCTCTACTACCTACTTCTTATATATATAAAAACCGTGTCGATATTTCAATTGTATTTTTGCAGAAGCATCATAATGCTGGGTCACAACGCGAGGTGAGTTTCGTGATTAGGCTGAGAGGAGAATTGCGTATGTTATTGAGTTTTGTTATTTTTGTTTGGTTTTGGTTTTTGTTTTTGTACAACCTACGCTTAAACAACACGGTGGCCAAATCTAATAGAAAAGTTGCTCGTAATAATAAAAGAATACGGCATTTAGGAATACCATACTCTAAGAAACCCGAAACCTATACCCATACCCGAGATTCTACCAGTCCTGATACTAATATATTTATCCAAATCCAAAACTGTAAGCGAAGTACATACATATGTTTTCAATTCGATTTCGATTTCGTTTCTTGCCTAGAACTTTTGGTATTTCGGGTTTAATTTGGTTTGTGGAGGGTTTTGTGGATGATTGCAACTTTATCGATTCTTCTTATGTACTTTACTCTCTTACTCGCATCCCAGTATGATTTCCATATCCTCTCCATAAGCTACATATTCCGTAATCAGAGTAAAGTATTGGTAATCTAATCCATGATAGCTCATTTGATAATCCAATATATACGTACAGTAGAGCCAGTAGAGTCCCCAACTATTGGCTGATTTCGATTTGCTATTCCTTCAGAACTTCTTTTCGATTCGATAAGTACTCGTACCAAGGTAAGTCAAGGCAAGGTAGGGTTCTGCCAGCTACAACATGCATATGTATTTTGAAGTAACTTCACTCTCACCTCATCCAAAACGTATGTCATTCGTGAGCCCAGACCAGATCCGATCTGAATCCGAGAGAATGAATGACAGACACACTCGATCTCTCTCTCTCTCTCTCTCACACACCGAAGTACTGTATGTAGATCATGAATCTTCTTTTGATCAGTTTCTTGTATAATTATTTTGGAGATCAACTGAAATTCTGTACCAGCAGCTCTCTCTCTAGTAGATAACTATTCTGATTTCTGATTTCTGATTTGTATATAGTAAAAACACCGCTAATCTGTACTATTGCTTCTTTTCTTCTTGTTTTTCTACTTCACCTATGCCACAACCTGCCTATCTCTCTCTCTCTCTCTCTCTCTGTGTCTTTCTCTCTCTCTTCTCTATTTCTCGACTATCTCCTCTCTTCGAACTGTTCTCTCTCTCTCCCCCTAACTCTGCAAAACACTGAACACACTGAATACAACGAACCGACCCGGCTAAATTGATCAAAATATACACTGCGAACAAAAAAATACACATGTTGAACATACCCATGAATACACTCGAAACAACACCCATGTAGCGGTAGGCCAGCGCTTTGTAAACGAGATGCTATAGTCCCCGGACCGTCCACGAGATATGCGCAGCGGCACATCACGCGCACGCACCACATAAGCTAAGAGTTGGACAAGTCACTGAATATTGTACAGAACAAAAAGACCGCAACCAGAACATATATATATTTTGTAAAAAGATTTTCCAAAAAAACCAAAAGAAAAGCCAAAGAAAACCCAGTACTCAATTGCACACCACTTGCCAGACCTTGGGGTAAGTACAAACCGTCATTCCTTCCTTTTGCTACATATATCGATAAGTGCCAGGTACAGTTGCCACCCGTAGAGTTATCGGGAGGGATCGCAATCGCAATCGGATGGATCATCGTGAATGCCTTGTTTTCGTTGTACTGTTATGTTTTCGTCCTGTTTTTTGCTTTGATATCCTCTTCAAATTATGCGTTCTTTATCTCTCTCTCCTCTCTCTCTCTCTCTCTCTTTCTCTACGGTCTCATTCCACAGATCGCAGCATATTTATGCATCCCATTATAAACATAAGCGAAAGTATTATGCGGTCAATACAAACCCATATGTTGTTTGAGCCAATCGCATGAATGAAACCAGATCTCGTGGCGGCCGATCGTGGTGGGGGGCCTGGTGGGCATTTTTGCTTAGATCCCACGGCCAAGGCCGCCCCGAATCGCCCCCGAGCCTACAATGTTTTTATAGCCGTTGTTGTCTGACTGTTGAGAACAATTTTTGTACCAATTACATTTAGTAAAGTAATAGTTTCCAATATAGAGAAACTCAAAACGAACGAACGGTGAGAGCCCTAGATATGTTCCTTTTTTTGTGTTTTTTTTTGTATCCACTTCTATACTCTGTAGCCCACACTCGATTGCCCTCACTCTCATGTACAGTCCAGCATCTCTCACTTCTCACTTTTTGGCATCTATGAAATTATAGTACAAATTTGTTACCTCCTTTATTGCTTTGCACTTTGCCTATGTTGTTGGATCTATAATTCGTGTATCTGGAAGAGCACAGCTTTACGTTAAATCCATACAAGTATATGTATATTTGTGGCACTCGTAAATCGAACCACCCCGCTTATACCCACACCAACACACACACACACCCACACCTACACACACACATACAAAACACAATATACGAGAATTTTGTAAATAACTTTAACAGAACATCAGTAAAAAATCAGTAAAAAGTCTTAGATCTTAGGCTATTTGTGCGAGCATCAAGCAGTGCACTGCAGACAGAAGAACAGAAGATCTCCCATTGGGTCCTTGATCTGTGCTGCAGTGCAGTATCCGATGCCAAATTGAAATTTAATAGTCTTGCAAATGAACAATAATCTATGTAAATGTGAGTGTATTTAGAGCATTAGAATTGAACATGAAAAGAAATGCATAGAAACTAAATGCCATACAAAAAACCAATTGCCTTCATAGAACTAACCAAACCGATACTAACATGTACACTTCTTTCTATGCCCCAAAACACAAACAAATCTTCCGAAAAAAAACAAAAAACAATTGTTGTATAGATGGGGTCGCGGCCCTCGGAGCGGTACTTCAACAGGTCAGCATCCCACCACTATCGATTATCGGACGGGATACATAAGGTCCCATCTTCGTTCACCCTCTGGCCGTGTGAGATGACTGATCTATCGCCAACAACCAGCGGGTACCTGCATGGCAGCGTCAACGCACAGCATCACCAGCAACTTTTACAGCAACAGCAACAACAGTCCCATCAGCAGCACCACCGACAGCACCACCAGCAGCACCTGCAGCGCCAGCACTCGCACACCTCGCTCACCAAGATCCATCGCCAGAGCAGCAGTCACAGTGTCCATGGCGGTGGTCGGTCGGTGGCTGCCGGCACCACGGGTCGACTATTCTCCTATTTTGGCAACGAGCACGAGCATGAGCGAAAGAAGTCCGAGACGTCGTTCTTCAATCTGGGATTCCGACGGAAGTCCACGGTGGTCTATTATGCCCCAACCGATTAGGGGGACGGGGACTCTTAGCTCAGGCATATCAAACAGTACGAGAAAATACAATCATTCCGTGTTTAAGGAATTAATAGATGTTTGCACCTTTAGGAGATACAATATCCATGTCGAGGTCGTATCCGATTATACCATATTATTGTCGTTGTTGTTGATGTAAAAGTTTATTCGGAACACATGCAGTTACAATTTTGCTCAAATATAACACATTTAAATGCTACAGTTACAGCTACAGATACAGATACCTGCACCCATATGCAGTTCAAATCCGGTCAAATGAATCCAGGCTATGGCCCACAATCACGCCTAAGCCCATGCCATGCCACGCCACGCCACGCCTTCAGTCTCAAACCCAAACTAAATGAGAATGAAACCAAACCCATGAATCGAGCACCAAAACCAAACCAAAACGAGCTCAAAAGTGCCCCAAATGTTAACTATACTCGTAAATGGTTCTAATTTAATACTCATAATTATTACGAAATTGTGTAAGGAATCGAAGCCAATTGTTTTTAGCAATTATATACATATACATACGTACGTGAATAGTCATGGATAATGTTTTAAAGTGGATCCACTCAATGGCACACCACACCTTAAGAAGGAAACGACAACGCTAGCCTCGATCGAACAAGAGAGAACCCAAGTAACTTAAGGCAATTAGTTTATAGACTTTCAGCAACCAAATTGAGATTCACTTGGCTAAGGAAAACCCATTAAACTGTAAGCTCGTATACCCAAGAGGTTTTTCATTTTAGACTCCGACTGTGTGCATTTTGGATTGGATGTTTTGTTAGCGAGTCAAGAACAAATTGAAGTATTAGTATTTTTTAAACGTTTATGTGTTGTTCGTAATTTGTAATTCGAAGTGTTGTAGAGTCGAAATGAATCAACGAGGAAACTGTTGTATTAACGTGGCCGGCTCTCGTATGACCCCCCCATTCGAGGATCCAGTCTCTACACCTCTTCTGGGGCATACAGACCTGAGCTATATTGTACTTTGTTGTGTAGCCACATCCAATAATTGATTTGTGATAGTTTTTAAAAATGTTTGATAACCAACTGCATACACATACTGTAGCCCCCGACTTTTACCTGCCCGCCCACACACAGAGAGGCAACGGTGTAGCTGGGATGTATTTAGAACACACACAAAACTGAACACGAAATAAATACATAGTTGAAAACAAGGATTACTAGATTACTTCTTTTGTGCGGCTTCTATCGGTTGCCCGGGCAGGCCCTCAGTTGGCTCTGAGTTTGTTGGGAAATTTCAAGCCTAGGGGCAACTGGGAAATCTATCAGTAATAAAACATCAACCATTCAAATTACATCTCCCCTTCCAAAAATTATTTTAAAATTCTAAAAGGATCGAAAAATTGAAATCATAGTCCAAAATAGAAATTTTTCTTGATAATTCGTGGACAGAAAATACCGATTTTGGCCGAATATAGTGCGCGTTTCATTTCAAGAAATCGAGGCAGTGCCGTCGGGTGATCACGGATATAGTATATATAAGATAAATAAATCGGAAGAGAACTGGCGACGCTCGGCCCATACGGCGAGCGGCGTGAAATTATTTTGGTGTTCCCACTAATTTTGTTTTTTGTTTGTCTTTTGTTTTGTCAAAAACCACTTCGTGTGATTTTGCATTCTTAAAAATTACATTTATTTTTGTTTTGGAAACTCGATTTGTTCAGATTTTAATGCCTGACGTATAATTCAATCCCGCAAGACTTCAATAACAACGAATTCTAAACCAGCCGCAGAAGCGGTGTTATTCGACTAACCTTAGGGAAACAAGAATTCAAGATGAACAAATTTGGTAAGTGAGAGCCACTCGAGGAGATTATAAATGCATTCTTGTACTACAAAATCATATATTTAAACATTGTGTATATGGATTCGTTTTGAGTTAAAAGACACTTAAGATTCTATACATTAAACTATGGAAAAGTGATACTTTTGTAAAAATTCTCTGCTGTCTGCTCTCAAGGTACTTAACATTAAGGTACATAAAACAAAAACAGACTTTGTTCTTGGACGGACATTCGATATAGTCTCCGGTATTACAATTATTCGAACATAAACAGTTACAGTTACAGTTACTGACTGACAGATACATGTACGTTTTTCTTTAAGGCACAATTTACACTTTTGACAGCTTCGTATTTGTATTTTTCTACAAATTGATAGTGGAATGGAATATTATGGGGACAGCCCTCTGAGGACTGAATGTGACACCCAGAAACAAAACCAAAAGCGGACACATAGCCAGCCGCCTCGGTCGCAGCGGCACATTTGGAAATGGAGGAGTTGCCCAAATGCTGCGACAGTCACTGCCCTGCCCACCGATCGGAGACTGCTGCTGCTGCCACTGCTGCTTCTGCCCTGAGATGACTATGAAAAATGTGTGAAAAAGATTTTTTGTGCCCATGTCCAGCTACCTATGGCTATAAAGTTTTTAATGAAAAAAGCTGGAGATTTCTTTTTTGCCCTGGTAGGAGACCAAGTGGCTGATAAACTGGTTCCTGCGGCGCATAGAAAAAGTTCTCAGGGTACAGATAATAAAATTCAAGCGCATATGATAATCAAGGAGCAAAAAACAAAAAAGCGAACGGAAAAAACGGCGCTGCGGCAGCGGCAGCGGCATATATATTTAATTCAGGCAAAAAAAAAAAAGAAAAAAGCAGCCAGCAGACCATCGGACGCAATGTCGACGATTTAATATAAGAAAAACACGACGGCAGGCGTTGGATATTTTGTGCCATCCGTTGGACCAGGCAGAGGCCAGGCAGAGGAAAAAAGGTGTGCGTGCGGCACAAACAACCCTCAGGCTGGACCTGGACCTCCCCGATGGGTGTAGGTACGGGGCCTAACTGGGTTTGGATGTTAACAGGTTTGCGATCGGCGCTCTGAGCGAGCGAGCACACACGCATACAGCTGGGCGACTTCACGGACATTAGAGAGGGCCACAGAAGGAGCAGCGACAGCGACAGCGACAACGAAAGCGAAAACCCGGAGGACGCCGCTTCCGTAATCTGAGCGCAGTAGGCGCGGCTGTTTGCGCTTTTCTGCTGCCGTTGCCGCCGTGGATGCTCCTGCTGCCGCTGCCACTGCTGCTTTTGATAGAAATGACAAATAACCAGATTCATTGTAATAGATTATGTCTACAACTTAATCGCCTTGCAGATAAATGATGACAATGTTCAAAAGGAGCAGAAGAGCAAACGGATTGCAGAGCGGATTGCGGAGAACTGGGCTGGCAGCTCGTTTTGTTTTTGGGTGTCAATTTTTGTGTCTTTGAGATTGCTGTTGCTTTGTAGTTTATGTCTTTTGTGGAGAGATTTGATGTGAGTTTTTCGATTGGACGAAAGTTGGCTGAAAAGGCTAGAGAGTTAGTTATTTGGCGTGCGGGGATCCCTAACTAAATCTATAAAGCATGGTGAGCGTCAGGCCAATCAGTGCGATGACCAGCCCCAGGGCCGACTGCAGGCCCGAGGCGCCGGCCAGTCGACACTTGAACATATCGTAGCGCGTCTCCTTGTCGGCGACAATATTCTGATACTCGGCCTCCACCAGCTGTCCATCGTAGTAGGTGATTAGATCCTCGAACGGATACTCGTAGCCCTGCAGGCACTCGCACTTGTAGCCGCCGGTTTCATAGCCACGACCCATTATGGGAACGCACTGGAAATAAGAGGGAGGAAAGCAATTAGGGTGCTGTTATGATTCGTAAATATGACAGGAGCTGCTCACGTAGGATGACTTCTCGTCGCACTTGTGCGTGCCCTTGTAGGCATTGGGCTCATAGTACCAGTCTGGGCACTGATTGATGTCCAGCTGCATCATGTCCATGGACACGGCCACGACACCCCTGCGTAGAGCAAACAAATTAGTCAGTTTAATTGCCAAACATTTGCATCACAATGCCCCGCCGCTCATGGGAGTCACAAGTCAAAAGTTAGGCCATGTCAACACTCGAAAATTAGACAATCAAATCATAGAAACTACAACAAAGCATTTGCATGAGAATAGGACTTTGAATGGGATTCTGAATCTGAATCTGAATCCGAATGGGAATGGGACTGCGCCCTAAAAGGGGTTACGGCCCGCGACAGCGGCACGCAGCGGACCGGCCCAACAAGTATCACTGCCCTACCCTCACCCTACCCAATAAAAACCCGTCCCCCCTGCGGTAGGGTACTTTACTTACTTGAATTCCAGTTTCACTTTGAGGCTATCCCAGCCAAAGAAGGGCACCGCATAGGTCACCAGCCACTTCTTCACATAGCCATTGCAGTCGAACTGAGGCTGGGTCCAGTAGCCGTGCTTGATGCTGGCCGCCCTATACGAGTTGGGGTAGTGCTCGTACTTCTGCTGGTATTCACCTGTCTCGTTGTGCCGCAACTTGATCTTCATATAGAAGGTCTCGAGATCGTCAAAGTTGGTGTTCCAGCGCTGCTTGAGGAACTTGAAGTACTTCTTCTCGGTGTACAGATCGTGCGTTTTGTTGATGCGCGCCAGATCCTCCACCTTGTACTTGCGCGTGTTCAGCTCCGTTTTGTAGGCATAGGGTGCGAAGTAGGTGCGATTGGTGAACTTATTGCGCTCCCAGAGCGTTGAGGCCGACCAGACCTTGCTGTCGCCCATCATAATGGCCAGAGTCTCGCCGATCATTTGATCCTCGGTCAGGGGCTTGTCCGCCACACGCTTGCCCGAGTAGACCTCATTGGGATCCGATATCTGCCGAAAGCAATGGAAAGGAAGGAGGAGGACCATGTGTATAAGTAAGGTAAGTGTTTTTGGGGAGCAGTCGCAGAAGCAGCAGATCGTTGGGAAATCTTTCCCCACCCCGAAGAGGAGTTTTGCATTTGAATGCTAAGAACTTGTGCAAATATAGACACAGCCAGCGACACAGCAAGAGCGAGTGATATACAAGGAAACTCTAGTTCTGTGGCTGCTGCCTCTGCCTCTCGTCCTCTGCGGCTGCTGGGTGCTGGCTGCTGGCCTTTAATGAAGACGACGCCTTGTGTCGAACCCGTTTTTCGTGTCCTTTGCGCTCAAACTAATGAATTTAGCATTTGGTAATGGTTTGACACTGAATATTTAATTCACGCCGTGCGGCTGGCAACTCGAGGCTCCTACTGCAACACAGACACCACACACACAGAATCCGAGGCCGTGGCCGTGGCCGTTGCCGTGGCCGAGGCTGAAACTGTGAAACTGGCATTGCAGGAAAGCAGGAAATTCGAGGAAGTTGAATTACGCGTGGAAAATTATAATTTACACTTGAGAAGTTTTCAAGAGCCGTCGTCGAAGGCTCTTAATAGGTGTCGGGTTATCAATTATTGCTCTTCATTTAGCGTGAAGGCGAAATGATGAGAGGCGATGGGAACACTCTTCCATCGCTCCACATAGATAGAATAGACACGGCTGCTGCTTACCTGCAGGAAGGCGCTAATAAAGTTGGCCAGTCGCACGGCCATCTTGGCTTCGTTCTCGAACTGCTCCTTGGCGCCAAAGCTGACATCGCCTCGCAGTATGAGATCCTGCGGATGGAAGCTGCCAAGACACATATGCATTAGTAAATATCCCATCCCCCGCCCCAAGTTTTGAACTCACTTTTTGCATGTGCGGTAGTTGACACCGTGGATGAACTTCAATACTTGATCGATGTTTATATGCTCCGAGTGCAGAGACCTGGAACCTGTCGTATAGTTGCGGTACTCGGAGTGCATGTCCAGATACTTCTGCCGCACATGGTACGGAGCCTTCTCCCACTGGATAGGCAGCTTTTGAATCCCTACAAGAGTTAGAATGTGTTAATAGGGAGTCTATTTCGAGGCATGGATGCACCTACAGCCAATACTGAGACAGTCATACTCGTTGTAGTACTGCTCTGCCGAGGCCCGCTCTACGATCTCGCCCAGGTAGGGGCGGCGCACGACGTTGGGCAGCCGGAAGCCCGGCTTACAGCGACATTGGTAGCCGCCCCGCCTAAAGCCCCAGCCATGCAAGGGCTCACACTCTGTCGTCTCCTTTTTACATCTCGCTGTGTCTGCAAAGTGATTCGGCCCCTTGTTGCCTTCGCCGAGGGGACACTGATTTATGTCTATACGCTCAAAGTCCATTTCCAGGACGGACACAGCAGTATATCTGTGGAAAACCAAGAGGATTAGGACCAACCTAGGCTCAAGAACAAGTTCGTCTTACTTGGGATATTCTATGTGCCGGAACTGGGTGTGTCGGGGGTAGATATCTGCTATGGGAACGACGGCTGCCACCAGCCATTTATTCGAACGACCACAGTCGAAGTAGGGCCTCGTGAACTTAATCGGTCCGGGATTCTCTTCAGCGCCAGGCGGGCCGTGGAAGGTGAACGTTTCGTTTGTGTTATTGGCATAGCGGATCTCCACCTGGTAGGTAATCTTAGTGTCATGCCGTCCCTCGACATTGTCCGGCAGCCAGGCGCGGTACCACTCGTTTATCTTGTACAGGTCATGGCTGTAGTCCTTCGATATAGAGTCGGGATGGTGGGCGCCCAAGTCCTGGACGTCGAATGTGTTCCACGTGGAAATCTTTTGCAAATGAATGGGATCGTTGAAGTCATCCAAACGGAAGGTTCGCGGTCCAAAGCGGGGAAACGTCTTGTTGAAGAAGCCGCGATACGAGGACGAATACGAGCTGTTTGGCGAAAAGTAGACAGCCGAGGCGTTGATCGACGGATTGGACGAGACGTCAGCCACGGTGGAGAGGAAGTAGTACATCATGCCCGGATCGTAGGTGTCGTTGATGGCGGGTCGAATGAATCGCGACTGTAGA